AATTTTACAAAATCCGCTGCCCATGGATAAAGCCAGTGTGGACACAATTTTTTCTCTAACCTTCGTTACAAAAATGCTTCGTTAGACTCAACCCAGCAGTGTAACAGATACCAATGCTGAATTTCTGAAAATTTGACTGGACATACTAAGAACCGTTTGGGATCTATTTACAAACTTCATCGAACGTACTCGAACGGGTAGGTCCTCTAGAACTTAGACAATGCTCAAAATGTTCTCGTGGTCGTCACGTTCTACAATTAGAACGAGTGAAAACGTACTAACGACGAGCTGGACGTACTACGAACGGAACCGCCGTACTTCAATCCTACTAGGGACGTTTTAACAACGAGTTGAACTGTCTGAGGACGTGTTTAGAACGAGGTAGAACTAATTGCAAACGGGTTTAAAGTGGGAATATCGATTGCCGAGTCGTATCCAATGATCCTGGGCCTATCGTAAAATGAAAGCTTTGAATATGTTGTTGCCTTTAAAAATGTATCTATTTTCCATGTATGCAACTAGAATTTGTGCACATACCTTATAACGATCGATAATGGCAAAGGAAAATCCTCTAATTCTTCGTCATAATTTCTCCCTCGACGTCCACCATTTTTTATTAAACCGGAAGTTTGTTCTATGACGTCCGCGCAATGTTTTTTTCACTTTTATTTCAGATTACGCTTCGGATTCAACATTTAATGCTTTCTAATATTAATTAAGTGTTTTCTATCAGAAAGATTTCATAAAAAGACTCACACTATCAGAGATTTTATCGATTCGAGCAGCCAGAAAAATTAGTTTCAATTTCACCCGCTAGGTGTTTCGACGTCGACTTGGAAAGAATTTGAAAAATCTATGAGTGGGACTCCTTGTATGGAATTGTAGATTCTAAACGATTTGCCAGTTCTACTGGTTGATGATTATTGCCATATGCATACATTTTTATAAAATAGGAATAAGGAAGAAGATGTTGGACCAAACTTCACCCCGATAGCTCAGAAAAGGTAAAATTTCTCCATTTTTCTCTCCACAGACCTTTGAGCCGCTTTAAACTGATTAAGAACGTATTTAACACTGCTTATGAACGAGTTAGCAAAAATATAGCTATCACACCAAACAAGTTGCCACTGCGTTATCCAAAACTGGTTTTAAACTGTGTGCGAACGGAATGAACGTAGCTGCAACTTTCTAAGGTCTATTTACGAACTTTATGAACGTTCTCAGACGGGAATGTGATTTTAGAATTTTGAATCGATTCAAAATTCGATGGCGACCATGCCGTTCTGTAATCAGGTCATGTTGACCTTCTAGACTAAGGGACGCGTTCTACTACGTTGCACACCGACGTGGTGCGACCTGGACGAACTGCGAACGAGATGGACGTATTGAAGACTGTTTAAGAACGGAGAAGCTAATTATTTCAGACATATTTCCCGATCACAGCCAGATTGAGCCCGTTTTACGACGTTTTCGTAGGTCTGGCAAGAACGGGTAAGAACTAGTTTGGTGTGATAGGGGGGTTAGAGGGTTCTGTTTTGGGCCTCCCTGTATACTATACTATGTAAAGGGAGTATCGTTTCAGAATATTGTCTACTGGGATTCATTGTAAAGACTATTCTTTAAAAACCAAACCTCAAAACAAAATGCATCGAATGCTGTTTTATTTAGTTGTAGACTATACCAATCAAAAATCAAATTGTTAAATCTACGAAACGATGGAATAGCGTCTCAACTGCTAATACAATTTTCACTAACAATGCATCGAAATTATGGATAAACCCTTGGTTGTCATGATCAAACACACTTTTTTTAGTTAGATATGTGTCTTATTTTGCAATATCTGAAAAATGAATTTTAATGAATAAATCTCAATTTTCTGTAGGAAATCTGAAAGTGGAAAAAATCCCCCAGAATTTAAGTAGAATGTAGAGCAGATGAGACACAATATTCTATCATTTATCAAAATTATTTTTGATCAGTATTAATCTATAACTAAGCGATCTCAGTTTAGTTTTTCAGAACAAAATATGCATTTTAGAGATATTATATAAAAGTTGCTTGGTATGGTATATTTAGTTTTTGAACATCCTTCGTAAATTACTTCAGTATATATAATTTTAGTAAGCCATAGCCCCATGGTGTTCAGAGTAAAATCAAGACCCATGCATATCTGTATGATAACAAAAATCAACACAAATCAATGATATATCTTGTGTTTTATTATCACCACAAAGGAAACAAATGTTTAGCACAAAATACTCATTTTAAGGATGAAAACATAGAATAACTGCTTTAAATATTTGTGTTACGTATACAGGATTTAGAATCAGTTGTTCAGAACACACTAACATTGTTGTAACTTCTGCCTTAAAGTGTGCGCCAAAGTTTAATACTGCGCAGGCGCATACAGAGGGTTAATAGATATTGTGGGGCCTCGTACCATTTTGTGACGTCCAAGCCGCTCTTTTATGGGTATTAAGCAAGCGCTTGAATATTCGAAAATTAGTCTTTAGACACTTAAAATATGTATAAGCTGAGCAGAAAAGATAATACCGTGGCAGTATTTTTGAGATTATTACTACGCTTCAGTTGGCCCAGTTGTAAATTGATCGGCGGTTATTGCCAGTAACTTTTGTAACCCCCAAGTCACACCAAACTAGTTTTCTAATCCTCCTATACCATGTCCTAAAACTCGTAGAACTCAATACCTACTAAAGCTACCAAACGAACCTTTTAGATTAAAAAAAATAGTGTCGTGGGTACTTGGCTCACATGGTGTTGCTCAAACGAGAATGATGGCTAAAATGGCAGAAAATAAAAAAATGGATGTAATTTTTGCCCATTTTTTGTAACAAAATCATTTCATACAACTACTCTTTACAGTGACATGGCTTTTTACAATGCAGGACACCTGAAATTATTTGTAAAGCTAGGAAATGGGCCACAAGTGAATTTCGCAAGACAAAAATGGCGACCATTTGAAAAATGGGAAGGTTTTGAACCAGGAGTCATAGGGGAGTTTTCTGTATTGATGTTGAACAAACATAACTTAAAACGTGAACTCTATCGACAGAGGTTTTAAGGCAAATGGTTCAAAAGTGGATTTTCGCGAGACAGATTGACAAATCAATGATAACTAAAATGGCTAAAAATAAATTTAAAAAAACGGATATAACTTTTTGCTGATTTTTGTAACAAAATTATTTCATACAACTACTCTTTACAGTGACATGGTTCTTTACAATGCGGGACACCTGACATTATTTGTGGAGCTAGGAAATGGGCCATAAGTGAATTCTGCAAGACAAAAATGGGGACCATTTTGAAAATAGGCGAGCTTTTGAACCAGGAGTCATAGAGTAGTTTTCTACATTGATGTTGAACAAAAATAACTTAAAGAGGGAATCCTATCGACGGTTTTAAGGCAAATGGATTTCGCGAGATAGATGGACAAATCAATGTTAACTAAAATGGCTGAAAATAAAAAAAAACGGAAAAAATATTTTTTGCCGATTCTTTGAAACAAAATTATTTCATATAACTACTCTTTACAGTGACATGGTTCTTTACAATGCGGAACACCTGAAATTATTTGTGAAGCTAGGAAATGGGCCATAAGTGAATTCTGCGAGACAAGAATGGCGACCATTTTGAAAATAGGCGAGCTTTTGAACCAGGAGTCATGAGGGCGTTTTCTGTATTGATGTTCACAGGCTGGTATCGAAAAATTTGTCCGCTGGGAAGGAGCGTGCTATTTTGCATAGAAACACTAGGAAACCTACACAATTTATTTTTACTCATATGTTTCGCTATACAAAAGAAAATTTCTTACTCCATGCAATGGATATATCATTTGCGGGTAACTTTAACTTCTGTTTGAAGTCCAACAACGCTTATAATAGAGTAAACGCTATTGAAAACGGCGCCGGGGTATCATACTCCAAAATTCTTTTATTTCTTTTTATTGGTACAATATAATGACACGATAATATTTACATATGTTTTCAGCATAACTCTGAAAGTATTAATGAGATTTTGATATACTGAGTATTTTTAATATTTTCTATAAAAAATAATGTTTAAATTTATTATCCCCTGTGACGGAGCAGTTTTAACTGTGAACTACGTTAAGAATTTAAGATTAAAAGTACCCTTAGAGGAGAGAACGTCACAGATCACTTTCCTAAATTATGACAAGTAGTCTGGGAGATCTGGGGTAATGTAAATCTGAGATATAAAAACGATCGACCACTCTTTTAGCATTTTTCGGAGGTTTGTACTGAAATCAACATAAATTAACATGGTGTACTGTAAACTCAACATAATATTTCTAATACGTTTTCGCCAAGACGCCTTGGAATGTCCATAGGGCTAATATGAATTTATTCGAAATAGCGTGCAGACATCCTGCATTCCGACAGATGTATCCACTTTTATCACATTATAATATTACTGTATGTAAGATGATCCCAATACAGATTTAATTTGTAATTATTTGAAATTCATGCCTCATCGTTTTGCTTAGTCTAAAAATATAAAAAAATCTTGGTAAACGTGCTGCACGGTAAAACCTGTATCAATGAATATCTTTCTCTAGTGAACACCTCTACGCGTTATTGGACTTCAAACAGAATTAAAAGTTACCCGCAAATGATATATCCATTGCATGGAGTAAGTAATTTTCTTTAGTATAGCGAAACATATGATTAAAAAAATTAATTGTGTGTGTTTCTATGCAAAATAGCACGTTTCGTCACAGCGGACAAATTTTTCGATACCGGCCTGTGATGTTGAACTAAAATAACTTTAAATGGGAATCCTTTCGACACAGGTTTTAAAAGCAAATTGTCCAAAGGTGTATTTCGCGAGACAAAAATGGCGGCCATTTTGAAAATAGGCGAACTTTTAAACCAAGAGTCATAGGGGGTTTCCTATATTGATGTTGAACAAAAATAACTTAAAACGGGAATCCTTTTGACAGAGGTTTAAAACTGGCCAATTGTTGACAGACGGCCAGAGGGACAGACAGACGGACAAGTGAGTGATTGCAATAGCTCATAATATGAGCTAACGAGGAGATAAATCTTATAAGAACCTAACACGGACTTTTATAAACGTTATTATGCTGCCAAGTCCTCACGAACTATTTATTTTGCATTTTTGTCATTTGTCGAACGAGCCACAATAGGATTGACGCCAAAAATGTCTAGCTGTGTCCAATCAATTCGCACACAGCTTTAAGCCCATTTAGAAAAAAATCAAGAACGTAGTAAGAAATAGTTTGGTATGACTCAGACTTAAATATAAATTTAAGAATTCCTAAATGGATTGTAAGGATTCTTGATTTCCATGATATCTCACATAGGAATCTTAACTCCTGGTAATAATTCCCGTTTTACTATATCGTTGTTTTTCGAGGATTGTCAAAAGAATTATAACTAAGTATGGGACGGTGTTCATGTTGATGGTTTCATCTATGAAAATACTATAGCGAAAAGATGAATGATGCAGTTTTTTAATGAATCGTGTTGTTTTTTTAAATATAGAAATAAAAATCACATAACACTTATATACAGACGATTTACATAATTGATGAGTCATGCATTTAAAATTAATAAAAATCACACATCACTCGATTGTACTGCATTTAAATCTAATTCCATGCCACGTGTTCTCAAATATGTTTGAAACTGTTCAACACTATCCTCTTCGTCTTCAAGAAGAGGCATGCCGGTCACATCCTCAAGTGACGCACTTCCGCTTTTCGATCCACTGCCTTCACTCCCACTGCTACTATTACTCAGATGGCTGCATGCACTAGAAATGCGCGTCTCAATAGTTGGGCATTCACTAGTTGGTGTGTGGCCTTGATTTGGAATGTTTAAAGTATCCATTTTATAACTTTGTGCACTATCGGCGCTTGAAGGGCATCTTGATTCCTCTTTGATTTCAACATTGGCCAACGATGGCCTCTTATAACTTTGATAACCAGGTTTCATATAACTAATAATGTCATCCTCTTGAAATGTGGGAATATTCAGGTTAGAGCATACAGTGTCCACACTACTGCCTCCAGTGTCTGTAGAGTCGGGGTTGTGTGTCTTTTTGAACATATTTCTTTTAGTTCCCAATGGCATTTTTGAATTATAGTATATTTTGCTTCTTTGATTACCCTGATTAGTACATGCAGACACGAGAATGTCCTCAATGTCTTCATACTTACTTCCATGATCGCTCGTAGGTTCCTCACCGCCAGATGAAGAATCTAAATCTACAGCATAATGGGCATTTTCTTTATCACTTTCAGGACTCTGCTCATTATGCAAGAGACTATCTGTTTCCTTAGGCTCATAAGCAGGCGAACAAACTTGTACTTTGTCTTTACTTTTATGACTACTTTTACCTGAAGATGATCCACTGTTGAGACTACTTTTGCTAGATTTTCTTGTAGGTCCATTAATAATTGCACATAGCTCGCCCATTGTTTCTTCCATTGAATCCTTCTTTCCCAACAACCTCTTCCTAAGACTAGGGACTATATTTTGCAGTAGAAAATCATCCGTTTGACAACCACTGTCTTGACTATAACATTTATTTTTGAAAGCTGATCCGTTTGGAACTAAGTTTGAGGAGGTCCCTACACATTCATCCATCTCAAGCATATAGGGGTCGTAATCATAGTCATGGTTTTTACGATTCATTAACTCCACCAGACTTCTTCTCATTTGTGTGTCCCTAAGTGGAATTGATTCCCTATGTTTTGATACAGAAGGATCAGGGACGTGAATAGAATCGGACCTCAGGAGACTTCTAGGTCGAATAGTTGAATTTGCATTAACATGACTAGCTCCATTGCCTCCCCTTTGAGGATTGGGTGATTTTGTTAAACTCTTTCTTTTCCAATTAGTAAATAAATTGTTCTTTTGTCTATACATTGGTGGTTTGTGATGGTGATTACCATATCTCTCTATACTGTCGTTTGAATTGGAATGAGATGTTCTGTTTTGGCTGATTTGAGACCCAATGTGACACCTGACCTCTTTTGATGTCGTAAAAGCACTCCTGTTATTCTTCTCTGGCTTGCAAATGATAATGTAAATTTTAGGGAAAAATAAAAGAACTAGTGCTACAGACGCACTTAGGCTCATTGCTAAACACACTGTTATGACTTGTGATGCACTTCCAAAATATATTCCAACAAATGCGAGCCAAATGATACAAGTCGTATACATTGTAAATCCTATAAATTTTGCTTCGTTGAAATTTTCAGGAAGATTCCTTGTCTTAATGGCATAAAGAGTGCACATTACGATAAGTAGTAAATCAAAACCTAAAGGGACTATCATCCCGTACGTAGAGGTATTACATATGAGCTGTACTTTAGTATTTGTAGGGTAATATTTCGTGGAATCTGCAGGTTCGATGATCAACATCACTGTAATGATGGCGCATTCAATTCCGATTATTAAACATGTTATAACCACTTGAGCAGAAGCACTCATAAATCTGGGTTTTCGTGTCATTATCTTCTTCTTTGAACCAGATAGGATTCTCGCTATTCTGTTCGTTTTTGTCACTAGTGCTCCATAGATCAGAGCAAACCCAACTCCCGGTAGAATTCTCGTTAGATAACACGTGACTAGGGATGGCTTTGCGAGAAGCGGGAATGTTACAGTGTATGACATCACAATCCCGACTAAGATGAAATACATTAGTTCTCGTGTGGAGGCTTTAACGACTGGCGTATTATTATGCCTAACAAAGGTTAGGGTCACAAATCCGGTCGTGATTAATCCAACACAACTAATAGCCACTCCTACAACAGCTTCTGTATCAGTCCATTTGATGTATTCTATTTTGATCTGAATGCAGGCTGAAACATAACAGTAAAATTAATTAATCACTCGGGAAAATTCCAATCGGGATTTCAAAGGGATGGTTCAAAACAGAGCTATCATATTGCGTAATTTTCTTTATCATCCAGCATCCGATGTCAAATAAAACATCGTGAAAATATCCAGCTATATAATTGTTTAAATTTAGTACCTGTGAGCTCAGCATTTGGCCACCATCCTTTCGCACATGGTTGGCACGTGGATTCATCTAAGAGTATCTCGTTTTCTTTGCATGGGCTACAAAGCCAGCAACAGTGATCCCGCGATTGTTGTATTTTCTGAAAACATCAATGAGAGGTTTTGTTTTTTGGAGTGTACAGAAAAACAGGACCGAAGAAAACTGCAGGTCCTTACAAAAATTCTCCAAGTTGGCACTTGAATATACGTAGGAGAGGTGCCCATTTGGAGCATGCTTGTGGTGTTCTTCAGTTTTTGACTCAATAAACAGATTATCATTAAACTTTCAAGATAGAATATGCAAAATTGACCGAATTAATCAATTTTACTTCGATCCTGTTTTGGACAACCTGTATATTATATTTATTTCATACTATAACAGATTAAATATTTTGAAATGTTAAGACATTTTCTCGAAATACAATAGCACGAATTTCTGTATGCACCGTTCATTACTGTTTTCAACAAGAGGTTCAATCATTCAGAACATAAATGCCTTTCATGTCAACTGTAAATACCTTTCGTGAATACCTTGGAGTAAATATCAATTTAAAAAACTAAATAACTAAAAAACAAAATAAATGTCCGTATTAACCTTTACTTGTCCCTTTGGACATGGCTGACTGCACACTGATTCTATAATTGCTCCCCTTCCTTTCTTCGGCCAGTAAATCTTGTCGATATCCATAGTGAGATTTCTACTGTCCCACGAACCAATTTGAACATAATCGTATGTCTTGGTACCATTTTCTCCCGGGAACATCTGGTAGTTCAATATGTCGTACCTAAAACAAATATTTGGTATGTCATTTCGTTGTCATCATGGCGGCGTATACCGTGTTAGTGATCGTTATCGTAATCTTCATCGTGATGTTGACCACTGATCAATGATTGTTCGATTTTCTTCAAATTTTTATACACGTTAGAGGGTACCAAGTTCCAAGCTGTATGTGTGTGGTCAACTTGTTTTCTGGCAGCCATTTTAGATTGTCATCGTTAATTCTTAGAGAGAAACAACTTGTTGGATTGTCTTCAAATTCTTACACATGTTAGGGGGTAGTCTAGCTACAAGCCCCTGCCCCCCCCCCCCTGCACACCTCCCCTCTGTGTGAGATGTATGTAGTCAAGTGGGGGGGTCACAGAGTCTTGTAGCTAGACTAGTTAGGGGGTTCCAAATCTATACTTCATTAACTTCAGGTAGCTAATTATCTAGTGATTTCGTTTACATTGTGTTATTATCAATGACACTACTAAATTATTTGGCTCTGGTGAAGTTGGCTTATTGCAAGACATGCTTAAAATAACGATGATTCCGACATTGATTTCAAAATTGAATGAATATGGTAAAGTTGGGTTCTGCAAGCAATACTGTGTAAATAACTAATTTAGCTCCTGTCTTATGGACAATCATGATCTGAGGGGTTGGGAACCGGAGAGTTCGCAGCCTGTAGGTTCAACGGGATCATCTCTAATTGTCTGTCAGACATATGTTTACAGAGCAACAACTGAGATTACTATTTTCATTTTTTCCAAAAAAACTAATTTTATTACACTCTATCTTTATTTAGTTCCACATCTTCGTGTATTTCAACCAGAACAACGGCAACGCCAAAGCGTAGCGAATCCCATCGAACAGAAATGGCTGGCATTTTACAAACAAAATATATAGCAAATATCGTAAAATAACACACATAAGAAAGGCCACCATTTTCAAAATGGTTGCTCACTAGCCAAGTTGTCATCAGAAGAAGTAATATGCTTTTAAGTAGCCACATATAAAATTTTTAAAAAATCGCCCACGCATACATGTAAATGCTGACCATTTCTTAAAATTGCCGCCTACTACCCAAAATGTCATAAGACAGTATGCAATCCTTACGAGTATTCACATATCAAATATGAACAAAATCGCTTTATTACTTTTTGAATTATAATAAAAAATGTAAAATAACACACATAAAAATGGTGGCCATTTTTCAAAATGGCCCACTACTCCCCAAAGTTTTATTAGACAATGTGCATTGCTAAAAGTATTCACATATCAAATATGAACAAAATCACTCCAATACTTTTGGAGTTATAGCAAAAAATGTAAAAATGACGGCCATTTTTTAAAATCGCCACCTTCTACGCGAAGTGTCATGAGACAGTGTGCAAGGTTCATAAGTATTCACATATCAAATCTGAACAAAATCACTCCACTACTTTTCAAGTTATAGTAAAAAATGTAAAATAACACACGTAAAAATGGCGGCCATTTTTCAAAATGGCCGCCTACTACCCAAAATGTCATTAGACATTCGCCCATGCTTAAAGTATTCACATACCAAATATGAACAAAATCGCTCAACTAAAATTGCCGCCTACTACCCAAAGTGTCATTAGACAGTGTGCCATGCTTATAGTATTCACATATAAAATATGAACAAAATCGCTCTACTACTTTTTGAGTTATAGTAAAAAATGTAAAATAACACACGTAAAAATGGCGGCCATTTTTCAAAATGGCCGCCTACTACCCAAAATGTCATTAGACATTCGCCCATGCTTAAAGTATTCACATACCAAATATGAACAAAATCGCTCAACTACTTTTTGACTTACAGTAAAATATGTTAAATAACACACGTAAAAACGGCGACCATTTTGACAAATGGCCGCCTACTACCAAAAAAATGTCATTAGACATTGTGTCATGCTTAAAGTATTCACATACCAAATATGAACAAAATCGCTCCACTATTTTTCAAGTTACAGCAAAAATCGTAAAAAGACGTGCAAAGGCAGCCATTTTTCAAGATGGCTGCCATGTATTTCTTCTGTATTTACATTTCTAGCTTAATCAATGTCCTATATAACTTTTTTACATTTAAAACATATTGCTATTACAGTTTTATATGCAGTACCTAAATAACTGTAAAATCGGCACTAAAATGGCCGGCCATTTTGAAAATCCGTTTTCGAGCAGAACTTCTACCCCCATTGGGTATATGTGTACAAAATATGAACAAAATCGGGCCAACGGTATTTGAGTTATTGCCCGGAGATTATATGAGATTCCAAAAGAGCCATTATTATGTATTATTTCTGATGATTTCTCCTAACTTTCACCCATCTGTTTATTTCGTTTTTGGAATAATGTCAAGAAGAAACGTTTAAAGGTACCTAGTTATTTTAGTGCCTTACACTGACATTTTCATAGTTTTCACAAACAAGTTTCCATATATCTTACACTCATATTGGGCGTGATAGCAACAGTATATACATATTCCAACATACATCAATTTTGATCTCAAAATTCTCGATATGAATGGTGATATTAATAACAAATTATTAGTGGTTCTCATATTTTACAAGCATTATTAAAATCGAACCGATTCTAACACCTCGATTAATATAGTGGGTGATGAAGGATATGTTCTGTTTAAGTGATTCCAAACGGCATAAAAACAAGTCAAATTAATTAATGTGCTCCTCTCTTAGATACAATGACAACTAGTTTTTATTTATATTTTTTAATCTAATGATAAAATGTAAATCACATAATTGGTGACTATTTTACAAAATAAAACATGAAACTGCAAACCACTTGTTAACGTTTATGCTGAATCATTTTATTCTAAATCTAGGTAGAGCATTTTAGAATAGAAAGCGTATAAGAATCATGAGGATGCATGTCTCCGGTATGATATATCATTCATTTCTTGATTTTTTATTTTTTCGCTTCATTTGACTAACCTGAGGCACACTAAGTTCGTTCTACATACCAATAAACTTCAATATTCATACAATGTTTTATGTTTACATACCTCCCAGGCGGATCTCCAAACTCATCAAATGATAGTTTGTCATTGGCATAAGTTGTGAACGAAACATTCATCAGGTAGTCCTTGAAGGTACTGCCATTTATAGGGAACATAGCAGGACATAGATCACCTGAAAAATACAAATTATATAAGTGCAAGCACAAGCGTTTATCAGTCCCCCACCACCCATTCTCTTTCAACACAGTCCAGTTCCATTTGTGGAAAAAGATAATGGACCCCCCCCCCCATCCATTCTCTTTCAACACAGTTCAGTTCCATTTGTGGACTGTCGTTGAAAGAGACCCGACGCAAGGTTTGCTGCAAGGCAAGTTTAATTTCAAGGGCTGCCAATCAAATAAAACGTGTAGTTCACAAGTTACGCGATGCCACTCATAAGTAATTCCCTTACAACACGATTATGTCATTTACGTTCAAGAGCAGGTCGAAAAGGTTCAGCGATGCCACTCAAAATACGCCATAGTTCACAAAGGTCCAGTGATGCCACTCAAAAGTGATTTCCTTACTACAAGATTATGTAATTTACGTTCGATTACAGCTACAGGCAAATGTGAAATTAAAGTACATTAATAAACTCCTTCATTTTCACCATTTCAACTTTAAGTCGACGATGTTTACGTAGCAATACAAGCAGACCACTTCATATTGATAAGTAAGTGCCGTTTTTCATCCTTTCCTTTGTTTTCTGTATATCATTGCGAAAAGGCGTTTTGCCATGCTTTAAGAAAGTTTACTTATAGAATAAATACACAATAAGTTTTAAGTGTCATCAATGAAACGATGCAGTTATCTTTAAAGGGTGACGCATATCGTTTAGCAAATCGAACGCTCGTTTCTTGTGTTGCTCACCGTTTAGTATAAAAGGCCCGATCCCGGAATAATACTCAAGGGTTCACAGGTTCGAGGTCGTTGTGTCAACACCTCTAACTGTTATAAGTATATTATAGATCGTCACACATTTATAAAAGGGTGATTTTTATTTTGACAAATCAATTCCACATTTATGGGTGAAGTTTCAGGATCTTCTATTTGTGTATAATAAGGAAAAATTGGCATCTAAATTTCCCCATAACGTAATAGCACACAGCTTGGCATATGCAATATCCTACAAATGAAACAAAGCAAGACAAACGGGTTTCTAATACAAGAATTTATATTGTCTGTTGTACATGTATTATTTGAACGCAATCACTCTTTGGATAACGTTTTCAAAAGCATTATAAACGGATTACTTATTTCTTAAAAATGGACTGATCCAGTTGATTCGCCTGGAGCCGCCATATTGTTTTTATACGGGATGCTAATCGTCACCCTTTAACTGTAAGGAGCGGTCTAAATAATTGTTTAAAAGTGATAGATACAATTTTATAACAATGGGCGTGTTGAATATGGGCGCATATTTGTGTTACGAATTATCGCTAAATGGACACCACCTTGTCGTTTAAGGGGTGTATGTCAAATTGACAACGGTTTACATATTAAAGGCTATGGGATTAAAATATAAAGAGGTTAACCTGGGGTTCCGTTGCAAAGGTCCTGGTGCATCTCATGTAGTGCATATGCAGCGGTATAGATGGCGTTGACCACAAACCCGATCTTGGCATCTGGTTTGAAGTCTTGAGAGAGATCTTCATTTCCTATAGAAAATGTGAATCGTTCAGTTAATAAACTTACACACAACATATGTGATAATAGTGTCATAATTAGTAATTGATGTATAAATAAATAAATATGGAATAGTACCGTTGACGCTTAACACTAATTGCTACGTTAACAGATTCAGCACCCATGAAGAAATGTCACTTGAAACAAAATATCCGTATTACTAAGGTTCAGTAGTTAATGTTTTGTTGGAGTTATGTTATAAAACGTTAATAATGACTCCCAGGCTGAGAAAAATAACGCCTTTACGCATCTCAATTGATGCCGATCCACGTAATTACGTGATTTCTGATAAAATAAATCTCATAGTATCCTTCAGCAAGCGATATTTCATTACGAGCAAAATACAAATATTAATTTCTTTTTGACGATGGTACTTTTATTTCATGTAATTACTTATTTTATAGTGTAATAAGTATAATGAGGATTTGAAAAATATTAATTTGTTTAAATACAGAGTGTGGTTTGAGTTGCAATTGAGAGATATTATTATTAAATTGATCAATTCTTATTAATACATGTCACAGAATAGAATATTTTTCTCCGCTTCCAATATATACAGGGTGTCCCGAAAGTATGGGGCCCCCCCCTAGGCAGACATATTCCAGTGTCCTCATAGTATGTGTCATATATTATTTTAAAGCTTATCCAAAGTTACATTGATTTGCCAAGTATCATGGCTTAACTTCCAAATGGGAAAAAGTTACAGTCATTTTAAAAGTTAGTGTTTTGTCAAAATAAAGTTCAATTTTACACCACATTACTAGTCAATGAGTCCCCCCTTGGCCATGTTCACAGTAGCAATTATTTTCAGATATGACCTTAAAAGCCCTTCAAATAGGGGTGTGGAATTTTATAACCCCCTTAAAACCTGTTAAGGAACTTTAGAAGAGTTTCCTTAGAGTTTTTACCCTCACTGTTCTCTTTTTCCAACTCAATATCCATCCGACCCGAAAATAATTGCTCCTGTTAAAATGGCCCGGGAGGACACAATGACTATTGATTTGGTGTAAAATTGAACTTAATTTTGACCAAACACTAAATTTTGAAATGCCTATAATTTTTTCACATTTGAGAGTTGAACCATGATATTTGGTGAATCAATGTAACTTTGGATAAGCTTTAAAATGATATATGACACATACTATGGCGACACTGGTATATGTCTGCCTAGGGGGGGGGGGGCCATACTTTCGGGACACCCTGTAGATGTACACATACCAAAATAAGCCCAGCGGCTATCAGCAATAAATGAAATACTTTTCTCAATACCCCACCAAGGGAGCGACTGAGAGCAAAACAAAAAGCACATTTTTATAATATTTCGTACATCTTACGAAAACTGCAGTTATCGTCAAGGTTAACGGACTTTAAAATGAGTGGGCAAAAAATAGCAAAGGCATAGAATAACTCTGTGGTCTCTGTTTATTTAAAACAATAGTACATTCAACAGCTGTATGCCTGTACTTACCAGTACATGGTGTAGTGTATCTGGCATCTCTATCTGAGCCATTCAGATAGCATTTAAACTTCTCTTGCCAGAATCCTTTGAACCAAGGGTTTCTTGTATTCGTCTCTGGCTTCAGACTCAACCAATGCTCGTCGAACCATTTTGTATGTGGACATGATAAACGAATAGACATACCACCCGCTGCAAGTTCCTCGATATTTTCAACAACGTCAGGTCGATCGTTCCAGCCGTCACTGTAAAGCATAACATGAAATTTATTCTTTTGTTAAGTTAGTTTGAAATAATTATATATTTGGGGAGGTGGCAATGGCCAACGTGTCCAACGATCGCGAAGTCCCAAAGTTGTCCCAAAACGAACTTTAATGTACGCCATATAACTTTTTATATGGGCATATGTGATACAAATTGGGTTCTCAAGATTCGGATTGCCACGATTTCGTTTCGATGGCGACGGGTGATAAACTTTCGACGAGGATTTTGCACTCGTGTTTCACAACACGATTCCACATGTTTATGATATATGTTATGCCATGATCATATCATGCTCGATATATTCACCGCAAAACGCTATAGTTTTCATTATTGTAAAATTGTTCTGGAAAGGATGCGATTGGTGTGCTAGATTACCGTGTATGATATTGATATACAAATGAATCTTATCTTTGAAAGAGACTAGAAAATTATAGCTTTATTGAAACCCATAAACCATATACAATACAGCTGCCATGTACAATACAACTGACATATACAATACAGCTACATACAGCTGCCATGTACAATACAGCTACCATACACAATGCAGCTATTTCATCTGCAATTTTGCTTTACCTGACGTGGCAGAAAAGTAAAATATTTGTTCAGACTTATCACTTTTCAGTTTCTATTATTCCATTAGCTATTCAGACATGGAGTATTTTGCTCGCAAAAGGCAGACCAACAATGCCAAGTTTGTACATCCATGAAGTATTACTGTTGATAAAGCGTTCCAAAGAACAATGTGCCAAATCGTTGTTATTCTCGAAAGATCAATTGACTCTTGATGGCAGCGTCTGTCATCAAGTTGCCACAATAGAAGAATACAACTTGAGAAAACAATACTTATCCGTTTATCAATATACGGAGGTCGTGGTTAATTTCATGCAAATGATGAAACAATTGGAAGAAGGAAGTAACTCAAAGTACATTTAGGTATAAATATATACATGAATGTACGTAAAAGCGTTAACGTGTACGTGAGAAACGTGATAGAGAAGTGAGCTATTCAATTGAAAATTAGAACAATAATAGTGACATAAGCGGTCGTAATTCAAAGATCTTAACACTTATCTTCTAGAAGTTAATCTCGACAACGATACCTAAAAGATGCATTTCGATTTTTTCATTGCAGTTGTTTAGTATCGAATCCCGACGATTCTACAAGGACTTCACTAATTTTCTACTATTTTAGTCGGTTTTCATAGTTACTCCTGATTTAGGTTGCCAATCGTGCCCTTTGGTCTAATGGATTATCGATTTTTAATTATAAAATCCTCTTATCACCTCACCTGCCTATAAATAGGAAGAGCCCTTCTATGTTGCGCCTCTTGGCAGCCTCGTACAATTTCGTGATAGTTGTCCCTTGGCAGAAGCAGATTACCACTCGAGCTGTATGGGTTAATAAGAGTGCTTTAATGACATCGTCAAATTCATCCGGTCCGGCGTTTTCGGCTATCTGCTTTCTTGTTGCTGCACATATATGGTCCAGCGTATCAAGTTTTTTATGAAACGCTTCCATGCCCTTCTGGCCGTAATCACCTAAACAATCAGAAAAAGTTCAGCTTTTTTAAATCTCTATTTATCATTCTTATAATTTTTTTCTAGTAAACTCAAGTATCATTTAAATAGTTAATATACTTGACATTGGACTGAGATATTAATTTCTTTATCGTTTTTGTTTGTTCGTTTGTTTGTTTCACCCTTGATTTGTTACAAAACTAAAACGATGAGTCATGGTATGGATATAGACTTATAAGCTGGAGTCACCAAATGTAGCCTTATGGCCGAGTCAAACGCTTCAGTTACGTCTATCAACTCACAAGAGTCTCGTTTATAAGCCGTTGATCTGATTTTACTTTCCTGAGACTTTAAAACAGAGGGTAATTGTTGAAGTATTGCTTCACAAATTCACCCGGGGGTCTCATATTTAATTGAATGACGCAATTTGGCAAAATTAGTATCGACTCATCTCTGCCATATAATGAAAAGGTGAGGCGAACCTTGTACAAAAGGGGATTTGAATCAAAATATTCGGGTATTCTTAAAGACATCATTTTTATATATAATTTACGTAATATTTGATCACTCATGAGAGAACTACAAATTAAACATATCCAATGCTATGTATTTTTACATTAGTATTTAAACTAAATCGAATCGACAGACTCCGGTGGATCACAATGGACAGAGTTAATCGTTTGGTTAATTGTCTTTATTTCCCTGTTGTGTCTCTGGTATGTAATATAGCGCATCGCAATTAGTCTAAGCCATATTTCGTAATTTCCAAAGCATATGTCTGTTGTTGTAATGATTCCCAAGTCACTTGTATATAAAAGAAAAGTATAATGATCTTATCCCGGGAGTCAATTTCACTGGTATTAATATAGATTTTCAATGTAATTACTTAATGAATATAACTGACATTTCGATTATGTCGGAATTTGCTTTTATCTAAATCAATCTAAACAAGAATGTGAAAATTGGCAATAGGTCGGGTCATATCTGGATGTTCAGTGTGTTCCCAAATACAGAATGAAATAACAACTTATATAACTAACTTTGCTGTTGCCAAGTATCAGGATGGTATGGATCGCTCATATTGTCTTCTATTGTGATCATGACTCAACTATTTCTCGCTCTTTGAGGGACTTTATTTCCAATTCAGCTTATGCCCTTCGTTTACACTCTCGATTACACCCCAGTTGAGTCCAGGAGTCTGATTTTGATCTGATTTTATTTTTTGACTTGCCACGTATGAAGCATGGACCACTCAATCTTGGTATTTAAAGTTACAGCAAATGGTGAAGGCAACCTTTTCAATAAACAAGCATTAAAATCATAACATGTTTATAAAAATATAAATAAAGCGAAATTTGGATTATAAAAAAAAAATTAAAAAATATTCAGCTCGAATTCTGTAAACATTGTTTCTTTTACACGAAAATGATATCCTATATCCATCCTTGTATGCATTTATGTTTTTCTTATTTTCAAACTTATTTAGTGCCCTCGTGTTTTGTCTTGGTATTATTTATATAAAACAGTCGGAATTGTATAGTAGCCTCATCCTACGAGATGATACGATATCTTCCCTCAGGATAACCCCATATACAATTTCTCATTAGGTATAACCTCTATTTATCATATATTCTGTGGACTATCATTTCTTATATTTTATAAACCATCTTGTAGATTATATTCAATCACGGAACAACGCTATACTACATGGAACAGCCTGGGTATAATATAAGTGCATAGGCCTACCTACTTTAAGTAAATCATTAGAATCATGGAATCAGAAAATAAATGAAACATTTATCTTCGTTATGCTCAGATGTCCAAAGTTAAATATTGAGGTACGATTGAAATTGGACGTAATTGAAGTATTGGTCATTTAGAGCTCCTAAACTCCAATCTGCCAGCTACAATAATCCAGAATATAAGAGAAACGTATTTGTTCTTGTCGAAAGTAATTCACTGCTAAATGATACAGGAATCTTGTTGATTCACTGTTAAATAAAGTACAGAACGAAGCCTATTTGAACATTTTTCAACTCGAAATTTATCACTACTGTCACATCGAAGTATTATTATCATCTTATATTTACTTGCTTCTGTGACGTTAAATATGACACGGAATTCATTAGGACGACCAGTGGAATGATCTATAGGGCCCTGAGGAGCCTGCGAGCGATTATAAATTCAATTGAAAAAGGAGATATTTGATTTGTTGAATTTCGATATTACAGAGCGAATAATCCACATTATTTCTTTCAGAACGCTTTCAGTACCCAACTAATGAAATACTTACAAATTGAATTGAAATATTCACATTTGCGATAGTGAACCGGAAATATTGGCTTGAAAAATATTGATAGATGTTGGGCTGTCACGTAACGTGTGTTCCAAAAGTAACAGGACTGGTGCTGGCATTTTGTTAATTCAGCACCAAGACGTATCTTCCAATTTTTACAAAATGTACTTTTAAGTATTGCGACTAAAACTAGCCAGGTGTAAAAGGGTAGGAGGTCCTATCAAATTATGGTCCTACTCTCCATTGATTTATATGGTGACCTAAATATAACTCTTTCCCTGAATATCTTATTCGCAATCGGTGCCAGTAAGGGCCGTTAAGAAAGGGGACCATAATCCCTGGGGGACCATAATTTCTGTCACACCGGAACATCAAAAAGTTATGGCTACTATACATGACCTCAAAATACACAGGGAAACCCTTCCATGAAAACGTGATACCATTTTTGAAAAACTAAATAAATATCCAATTCACTTAAATACAAAACCAACGTTTCTTTTTGTATTTTAGGTGCTTTGCTGTATTAGTGTTGCAATACAACTTAGTTTTCCTTCCCTCCCCTCCGTCTCCTCTCTGCTTAGGCAGAAGGATGATAATGGGGGTACAAAGTCTAAATCTAAAACGAATACCGTGATGTACGAAAACATTGCGATCTGCAAGGGTTAAGACTCCATCAATAGCCTTATAGATAACTGACAATTGTATGTAAGACAGATGGAAACATCCTTAATTGAATCTCAAAACCTTGATAATTTTACAAGATACTCCATTTAATTGGATTTTCTTCTATTCCTATTACGATTATTAAGGAACGGTGATGTAGGACTGACCTATTGGGATTTGAGAGATCACGATAACTGACATGTACAATATCAATACATGGACAGAATATCTAATCGCCGCTTCTGGAATGGCGAGATTTTGCCTAATGGTTGATCGGCATTAAAGCTTTCCCTCACATCATTCATCGACGAGGATATTTCATGGAAATCAAATACTGAGAACTTCAGGTTTCTAGTGCAACCAAACATTTTGAACTATTCTCTTTTCGATAGGTCAATAAATGTCCATATATTGTATTGTATCCTTTATTACCACATTATTTCTATGTGAGTACATTACAATTTTCAATATTTTTTTCCAAACATATTTACATCAACAGGTTGCGTTTTTTAGACATAAAATAAATTGCCGTGGCCTTTAAAATCATATTAAAATCATCATCCTCTTTAAAAATCTGGAGTACATTATCTTCTCCCATTTTAAAAAGTGCTAGTAGAGCTACCCTTTCAGCATCTAGAGAGCTACAAAATATAGTAAAATGTTCTAATGTCTCAATCTCGCCAGAATTACATATAAGGCATTTTTATTGCCCCATTTATTGTTTGCATTCAGTGTTTGGTTAGTTTAAAATACATGCATTTATCAGGATATCTGTTGCACAGTACCCACCAGATTAGTGGTTTAAATGAACATCTTATTCGAATAAACAAATGGGTAGAATATTTCAAAGTACAGTTAATCATTAAGTTAAGTTTCTGAGTGTATCTTACTCGTCCTAATACTAATTTGTGCCACTCTGATTTTGAGGGATAAATACCAGTGTTTAACATGTTATTTGCTGTGTCCAACAAATTGAACCTTATCAGAGTATTCCAAATCGTATGAATAGGAGATACAACTCCGATGTTACCATTATGCTGTAATTCGGTGGCTCGAAATATGAGGATTTGTTTGTAAATATTTTTGATTGGCAATTTCATTAGCATTAAGAAAAACATCAGTTTATCTATTACAATTCTGAATTCTAGATTCAACCAACCCAGAGGCTCGGTGGCAAAAATGTTGTCTGAGAATATACAGGGTGGGCCAAAAAAACAATACCTAAGTTTAAGGATGAATATCATATGATATAACATTAAACCATGCCATGTATTGTATATCCTTTTAAAGATAAATCATTTTTTAACAATCTGACACCATCCATCTGATTGAAAAGCCGTTGTTTTCTTGTGGAGTAAGAGGCTAAAATTGACACCAGTGGTATGACAATCTCTACGCTGTGATTGGTTATTCAGCATCTACGACGTATGCCAATCCCTACGCTGTGATTGGTTATTCAGCATCTACGACGTATGCCAATCTCTACGCAGTGATTGGTTATTCAGCATCTACGCATGTCAATCTCAACGCTGTGATTGGTTATTCAGCATCTACGACGTATGCCAACCCCTACGCTGTGATTGGTTATTCAGCATCTACGACGTATGCCAATCTCTACGCAGTGATTGGTTATTCAGCATCTACGCATGTTAATCTCTACGCTGTGATTACTAGTAGTTATTCAGCATCTGCTGGATGGTGGTTATTCAGTCAACATTCAGCTTTGTCTCAAATACTGACAACATTTTTCAACAACAAGATACACAAGTAGTTGTGGGGGTGATTTGAAAAACCAATCCCACATTTATGGGGGTACTACGACACATCCCAATCTCTACGCTGTGATTTGTTATTCAGCTCTGCGACGGAAATAAATTATTTCTTCAATGAATAAACCACAGCCACTACTTAGAGTAGAAGCTGCTGGTACCACACAATGATTGAATGGGTGAAAGAGCGGTTGCATACACTGCTTAAAACATATGACTAAAATAATTAGAATGATGTATCAATTGTTATTTGATATGGTTAATCAGAGTGACAAAGCGTGTCTCTGTCTTAA